CTTTACATATTCACTTACTTTTTTAGTCATTCATTTACGTAAATACATACTGACATAATTACTTATTTTACCCGAAACCGCCGAGGGTGGCATGTGCGTAGCTGTCATGCCCATTTTGAGTGGTTTATTGTCTTTATACATGAATGGCTTCACAAGTTCGATGTCATCAAAAAAACAGTTACTACCTGTTTCACTTGTTTACCCTTTTCCTTGCTTTTCGGGTTTGTTTTTCTTGGTATAAAATGTTCATGATGATAATAACAGCATCGATGTTGATAACGTAAGTAAAAAAATGCGGTTTTCACATAGTCTCAAGAAACGGTGGAATTAGGTGAGGTCGTAAGGTCTCCTAATTGGCTCGTTTGTGGCTAAGCTAACACATCTCGTAATGGGTTAAGTTATTAACTAATCTACACGTACATACATAATACATACATACGTACATACATACATACATACATACATACATACATAGATACATAATACATGCATACATACATACCTATGTACATATACATACACACATATACGTACATACATACTTACATACAGACATACATACATACATACATACATACATACATACATTCATTCACACATACATAAGGATACATACACGCATACAAACTTACATTCATATACAAACACAAGACATATTCCTCCATTCTCTTCGTTAAGCAAGTGATCTAAAAAAAAAAAAAAAGTTATCAGCAAACTTAAAAAAAAAAAAGTTATCAGCAAACTTCAAAAAAAAAGTCTTTATCGCTTAATTATATTCAAAAAGGATGAGAAACGACATCCGACGTCATCGCTGCCACATTATGTACACACGCATTCATCGTGGCTGTCAGTGTCTGTATTCATCATCATTAGCTCAATCATCGGGGCGTTTTTGTGTCTTGGTAAAAATAAAGGGGGGAGGGGGTGGGGGCACAGGCAGAGGGGGATGGGGTGTAAGGAGTGGGAGGAGGAGGAGGAGGAGGAGGAGGTTGTGGGGGTTTTATGCGTTGGGGTTGTTATTGTTGATATTATCATCGTCATCGTCATCATAATTATTGCCATCATCATCATCATTGTCATTATTATTGCTATCATCATCATCGTCGTCGTCGTCGTCGTCGTCGTCGTCGTCGTCACCACTATATCAACATCTTCATTTATTATCATTGTTACTACTGTTATTACTATTACTATTACTGTCATCATCCTCATCATTACGAGGTCACTGTTGGTATTGTCATTATTATTATTATTGTAGTTGTTTTTGTTATTTTCATATATTTTAAGTTTTATCTGGTCTTTGATTTACCGCTCTCTCTCCCTCTCCATCTCCCTCCCCCTCCCTCCCCCTCCCTCCCTCCCTCCCTCCCTCCCTCTCCTTCCCTCTCATTCTCCCTCTCCCTCTCCCTCTCCCTCCCCCCCCTTTCTCTCTTTATCTCTATCTCATACACGCGGTGATGATTTTATAAGTGATCAGCAATATTGACCAGAAAAGGAGAAAAGGGGAGGTTGGGAAGGGAAGAGGAGGAGTAAGAAGAGAGGAAAGACTGGGGAAAGAGGAGTAGGAAGAGAAGGAGGACGGGGGAAGAAGGAGAAAGACGAGGAAGAGGACTGGGAAACCGGAAAAGAGGAAGATGATAAGGGGAGAGAAAGAGAAAGATAAAAAAGAAGAAGGGAGAGAGGAGGAGGACTGGGAAACCGGAAAAGAGGAAGATGATAAGGGGAGAGAAAGAGAAAGATAAAAAAGAAGGGAGAGAGGAGGAGGACTGGGAAACCGGAAAATAGGAAGATGATAAGGAGAGAGAGAAAGAGAAAGATAAAAAAGAAGAAGGGAGAGAGGAGGACGAGAAAGAGAAAGATAAAAAAGAAGAAGGGAGAGAGGTGGACGAGAAATAGGAATAGGAGAGGGAAGAGGAAGAAGGGGAAGAAGAGGAAGATGGGAGAGAAAGGGGGAGGAGAGGGAGGAGGGAAAGGGAGAGGGAGAGGGCGTAGAGTCGATGGAACAGCCATGTTTGCGAAGCCCTACCCTGGGATTAGCGCTCGGGACAGAGGCGGGGCCGGTGTTTCTGCTCCGAGGGTGACCTGTGAGAGGGGGGGGGGTGAGAGAGAGGGGGGAGGGATAGAAAGAGTGGGGGGGGGTGAGAGAGAGGGCGGAGGAATAGAGGGAGAGGCCGGGCAGGGTGAGAGAGAGAGAGAGGGGAGGGATAGAGAGAGTGGGGAGCAGGGTGAGAGAGAGAGGGGAGGGATAGAGGAAAAGAGATAGAAAGAAAGATAGGGACTTACTCAGTAAAAAGAGAGAGAGAGAGAGAGAGAGAGAGAGAGAGAGAGAGAGAGAGAGAGAGAGAGAGAGAGAGAGAGTCTTGATTTAGTATTTGGCTTTGAAGTGTTTATGTAGGCCTTGACGTATTGTATATTTGTTTTTATTTATTTGGGCATTATTATTATTATTATTATTATTATTATTATTTGCATTCGCATTGTAAGAAGGAATATAGTAAAATGTGCATATATATGGATAGGAAAATAACTCTTTTAAATATTTTTTGCATGTGAATGTGTGTGCGTTGTGAATGTCCATGTAAACTAATATATTGTGTTCTTACGGAATTTTGATTACTTTAGGGGAAAATGTAAAAATTGCAAAGTGAAAGTGAGCAACGGAGGCGAGCCATGTTTAGTACAGGTTTCCCTCGCGTGAGTCTCGCGGTAGTGCATGCGAGGCCGGCATAGTGAAACGTGGCGGGCACTCCGTAGAGTTTGGCGGCAGTGCACGCGGTGTTGTGAACAGTGAAAATCATAAAGCCTCGCGAAAGAAATTACTTTATTATACCACGAATGACTTTGGTGATAAAACCAGAAAGGTGCCACATATGAAAATATATCTCCATATATGCCCAAAAAAGGATTGATAAGATATACGGAAAAAAAATTACGCGGTGGTAATGCGTTCGTAGAGAAAAATTGCCCGGAGCAAGACGCGAGCACAGATAGACAGACAGTGGGACAGGGAGATATATATAAATATGTGTCACTCTTAAGAAAACGTTTCCAAATAAGTAAAAAGTAGAAAAAAAAATAATAAAAAAAGAAACAAGAAGAAATTTGGTATAAAACGTTCGCGGTGGTGACGCGTTCGAAGAAAAAATCCCCCGTCATGAGGAACCTTCCGCAGGGACCCAAAGTGCAGATCTTCGACTCCCTGCGCGACATGGTGCTCTCCGTCGTCGAGAGGCTGAAGCCCTCGGTCTCGTCGCAGGAGAGTTTCGAGGAGGAGGAGGAGGAGGGGGAAGGAGAGGAGGAGGAGAAAGGGGAGAGGGAGAGGTGCAAGACTAAGAGGAAGAAGAAGAGCTGGTACGATGAGGACGAGGAGATCATGATGTACTCCTTGGGCTTGGAGGAGGATGTGGTGGAGTTCGAGAAGAAGCTTTTCAAGGTTGGTTTGGCGCGAGGTCAAGGCTGGGGTTGGTTTGTGTAGCGCAGGAACCTCGCGCGTGTGTGTGTGCGCGTGCGTGTGCGTGTGCGTGTGCGTATGTACGTGCGTGTGCATGTGTCTGTGTCTGTGTATTACTTTATATTATATTATATGATGTTATATATATATATATATATATATATATATATATATATATATATATATATATATATATATATATATATAAAGTATGATAATAATGCCGAAATCCCGTTGGCATAATTCCCCGCGCCGTGGCCCCTTCCTGCTCGCCCCGCCCATTGTGTCCCGCCCTCGCATGGCCTGTGTCAGCCACTGCGGGTCGTCATCTGGCAATTTAAAAAGACTGTTAAAGATTTTTCTTTTTCATTTTTTCATGTACTTACATGAGAAAGGCTCGTTTTTTTCGTACGGGCTTTGTGATATTGGATTTATTATTATTATTATTATTATTATTATTATTATTATTATTATTATTATTATTATTATTATCATTATTATTACTGTTATTATTATTATTGTTGTTATAGGTTTTAGTTTTTAGAAGTCTATTTGGTTGGGGAAAATGCATTGTTGGTTCAGTGTCTCTCTGACTCTCCCTCTTACTGTGGCAGCTAAATTTCCTCTACAAAATATAATTTTCTTTTTCCTTTTCGTTTTTTTTAAGGAGTGGTTGTGATTCTTAAAATGGCAATGATGAAGGCTATATTGTTATAGGAATTACAGTTCTTTGTAGATTTTATTTTTTTTTTCCTTATTGTTATTGTTATTATTGTTGTTATTATTATTATTATTATTATTGTTCTTTGTTATTGTTATAATCATTATTTTATTATTATTATTATTATTATTATTTTTATTTTGTTGTTGTTGTTGTTGATATTATTATTATTATTATTATTATTATTATTATTATTATTATTATTATTACTACTATTACTATTACTACTATTACTATTACTACTATTACTACTATTACTACTATTACTATTACTACTACTACTACTACTACTACTACTACTACTACTACTACTACTACTACTACTACTACTACTACTACTACTACTACTACTACTACTACTACTACTACGACTACTACTACTACTACTACTACTACTACTACTACTACTACTACTACTACTACTGTTACTATTATTTGCTGCTCTTACTATTATTATTATTATTATTGTTGTTGTTATGATTGTTATGATTATTATTATCATAGTTATTATTAATGCTATTGTTGATGTTTCTGTTATGACTTTTATTATTATTGTTATTGTTATTATTATTATTATTATTATTATTATTATTATTATTATTATATATATATCATTATCTTTATTATTACTATTATTATTATGATGATGATTATTGTTATTATTATTATTATTGATGTTTTGGTGGCATCCATTTTTGGGTTCATCAGCAGGATTACACCAAAAGATTCCCATTAATTGCAGTGAAATTTTATGGCAATCTTGGTCATGTTAAAGTGAGTGATTATGTTATGATGGTGATGTTGATCATATTTTTTGTTCCTTTATTG